GTCCGCACTGTGAACCAGAATGAATACATGAAACAAATATTTCCAAGCTAAATCCACTAGGCCTATAGGCTATGCCTACGCTGCCTTGTCTCTGGGGTAAATCTGAGCTGAAAATATATTTCAGGCTGTTCCGTTAACTAGAGCCTATGTGTATGTTGTAATCCATTTTAATCTTAACTGGCGCATTTCAAACTGTCCTTTTTTTTGTGAGGCGCAGCTGGGAACTAGTTCTGTTTAATGGCGAGTGGTGGGGTCGATAAACCAGGAGGATTCTCCATTATAGTTTAAATCTCCAGTTTGGGAACATTTTGGCTTCCCAGTAGATTACAACGGTGACGGACAGAGAGAGTATGTCGCCAGTGCTGAACGAGAAGGGCTCGTTGGTTCAAGGGATAATCCAACCCAAACTACTAATTCCCATTATTAACAGCGTTAAACACTTAAATAACATGAATATGTGAAAACAATATTTTTTTGTGAACAAATGTTCCATTTTGGTTGGTAGAAACGTGAAAATCATTTTTGGAAATCTGTTGCAGCTCAAGTCTACTACAAAACCCACAATACAATATTCTCCATCTCCCTGGGCTGGTTAGCTAGGTAGCTAGCTAGAAAACATAGCTCCACACAATAATACCAAAGACAATATCAGCATGTGAAGTAGCTAGCTAGCTAGCTGTAAAATCGCCTAAACAAACTGCGCTATCAATTCAGTTTCAACATGCAGTTTCTCTGTCACTGAGCTATAAACGGCATCTCTGCCCAGAGCGAGAGCGGCGTTACGTTGCGTTCCCACAGAGAGAATTTTGAGGAGATGGGAAACACCCATTAGAATTGCGTGACGATTAGCTTAGCAACCATGTGACGCAGCATGACAACGTGAATGCGATTGGTCGACAGTCAGTTGGATGGGGCGTTTCTCTATTCATTGCCCAATGGGATTCCTATCTCCTCCTTTCTGTAATATCTGTTTCCTACAGACGCGGCGCATTGCGACATGGTACTTGAAGGAGAAACTGAGGTTAAATAATTTGGTACACTGTTTAGATTGAGCACATCTAAGTGAAATCTACACTTTGTCATGATATAAATGGATGGATGTGTTCTAGACAAGTGTGGCCAAACATCTATTGCCTGATTTTGGCGATCTGGAGTGCAGGTCATTGTTTTAAAAAGAGCTATGAAATTTGATCTCCTTCTGACTAGAATTATGTAGCTATGACACTTTCCTACACAATTCCCTGATTTTCACAGGCGGACCACTTAGAAGTTAAATCATGGGGAACATTTTTGTTTGACCCACTGACAGAAAAAAAGGCTTTCACCCATATTGACAAGAATTTAATGATTTTAATTATCCCTTTAAGGGCTCGTAAGTCAGCATTTCACGGTAAGGTCTACACCCGTTGTATGCATGTGACAAATCAAATTTGATTTAATTTGAATAGCTTATGCAGCTGCCAACACCTAAAATACACTACCGTTTAAAAGGTTGGGGTCACTTAGAAATGTCCTTGTTTTCGAAAGAAAATACATTTTTTTTGTCCGTTAAATAACATCAAATTCATCAGAAATACAGTGTAGACATTGTTAATGTTGTAAATGGCTATTGTAGCTGGAAACGGCTGATTTGTAATGGAATATCTACATAGGCGTACAGAGGCCCATTATCAGCAACCATCAGTCCTGTGTTCCAATGGCACGTTGTGTTTGCTAATCCAAGTTTATCATTTTAAAAGGCTAATTGATCATTAGAAAACCCTTTTGCAATTACGTTAGCACAGCTGAAAACTGTTGTGCTGATTAAAGAAGCAATACAACTGGCCTTCTTGAGACTAGTTGAGTATCTGAAGCATCAGCAATTGTGGGTTCGATTACAGGATCAAAATGGCAAGAAACAAATAACTTTCTTCTGAAACTCGTCAGTCTATTCTTGTTCTGAGAAATGAAGGCTAATCCATGCGAGAAATTGCCAAGAAACTGAAGATCTCGTACAACGCTGTGTACTACTCCCTTCACAGAACAGCGCAAACTGGCTCTAACCAGAATAGAAAGAGGAGTGGGAGGCCCCGGTGCACAACTGAGCAAGAGGACAAATACATTAGTGTCTAGTTTGAGAAACAGATGCCTCACAGGTCCTCAACTGGCAGCTTCATTAACGTCAACAGTGAAGAGGCGACTCCGGGATGCTGACCTTCTAGGCAGAGTTGCAAAGAAAAAGACATATCTCAGACTGGCCAATAAAAAGAAAAGATTAAGATGGGCAAAAGAACACAGTCAGAGGAAGATTGGAAAAAAGTGTTATGGACAGACGAATCGAAGTTTGAGGTGTTCGGATCACAAAGAAGAACATTTGTGAGACGCAGACCAAATGAAAAGATGCTGGAGGAGTACTTGATGCCATCTGTCAAGCATGGTGGAGGCAATGTGATGGTCTGGGGGTGCTTTGGTGGTGGTAAAGTGGGAGATTTGTACAGGGTAAAAGGGATCTTGAAGAAGGAAGGCTATCACTCCATTTTGCAACGCCATGCCATACCCTGTGGACGGCACTTGATTGGAATCAATTTCCTCCTACAACAGGACAATGACCCAAAGCACAGCTCCAAACTATGTAATAACTATTTAGGGAAGAAGCAGTCAGTTGGTATTCTGTCTATAATGGAGTGGCCAGCACAGTCACCGGATCTCAACCCTATTGAGCTGTTGTGGGAGCAGCTTGACCGTATGGTACGTAAAAAGTGCCCATCAAGCCAATCCAACTTGTGGGAGGTGCTTCAGGAAGCATGGGGTGAAATCTCTTCAGATTACCTCAACAAATTGACAACTAGAATGCCAAAAAGGTCTGCAAGGCTGTAATTGCTGCAAATGGAGGATTCTTTGACGAAAGCAAAGTTTGAAGGACACAATTATTATTTCAATTAAAAATCATTATTCCTAACCTTGTCAATGACTACATTTCCTATTCATTTTGCTATATTTCCTATTCAAACTCATTTCATGTATGTTTTCATGGAAAACAAGGACATTTCTAAGTGACCCCAAACTTTTGAACGGTGGTGTATGTTGACATCTTACGATGACATTACCCCAGTATACCGGAGTAAGACGGAAGTGAAAATAAACATAGTCTCTGTATTTAAGCAGCCTGCGGCAGCGGATTCTGACCGGGCCAAAGAAATTACAAGAGCGATAGGTAGACTTGTCTTTGGTTTATAGCCTCGGATATGCGCCCATTCTAGGTGGTTGAGAATAGATAGCTGGGGTTTCAGCACCTCGTGAAAGTGCTTGAGCCACGTTACAAACCTCACTCTTGCACCCGTTTCAGCAAACAGGCTGTCCCCACACTATATAAGCAAACCAAAGCCACAGTTTTCAATGAATTGGCCCAATGCACCGTGTTGCACTTCCTTAACAGTGACCGCCCACATCACATTGCCCTGGAGTGGGAGATGTACCGCGCCACAGAAACGCCTCCTTTATGAGAGTCACAAGTACACACCTGGCATTGAAGGAGGCAGTGTCATGGTGCGTTCGCAACCAAGTGGGAAGTGGGAATTTTCCACATACGACTGGAATAAATCCACTTCACCGCCCCACCAACTGGTAATTACTAGAGGGAAACTAGTCTATCATCCTGAGCACCCACTTCTCCGACATGCTGACCTCTGACCTCACCTACTAAGGAAATGGCCTCTATAACAGCATTTTTCAGCAGTTTAATGTTTCTGAACACTAATTTGTTTACAAGCACGATAGCTGCACTTTCAGTTTATGGTTGATACAGCTTGTTGGCCATTTGCCAATGAGCGTTTCTCAACGAGTTCAAATCACAATGCATCCAACTTTTAATTACGACTTCACAACTGGTAAATTCCCATCTCCCACCTGGTTACAAACGCAGCATCAGTGGAAACTTGAGAGGCCTAACATAACAATCCTGTCACAACCGACAATGCCAGGAACATTGTGAATGATGTCACAACAGACAATGCCAGGAACATTGTGAATGGCATGTAATTTTCCCGCTGTACCGAAACCGAACCGTGACCCCAAAACCGCAATACGTACTCGAGGACCAGAAGTCCCCACAAGAATAGTAAACAAATTAAAATTTGACCAACTGGGGACATTCTGTTAGTCCCCACAAGGCCAAATGCTATTTCTAGGGGGTTTAGGGTTAATGTAGAATTAGTGTTAGAATTAGGGTTAGGAGGTTAAGGAAAATAGGATTTTGAATGGTTATAAATTGTGTCCCCCCCAAGGTTAATTAAACAAGCCTGTGTGTGAGTGTACCTCGTGTCCCAGGTAGGCAGGCAGTACGGGCCGTTTCCTCTGCTGGAGGAAGTAGATGACCATGAGAGCCAGGACGTACGGGGGCAGACCTCCCTCCTCCGCTCGGTCCACGTGACAGATCTAACAGACAGAGAGAGCACACAATGTCAAAACACTGAAAAGTAAAAGCCTTGGTACACAAAAGACATAAGGGACTATTCTGTCTATGGGGCGAATTCTAACTGCCACTCAAGTCCCATTTTAAGTTAGTCTACCATTGATATCAATGCATGATTATGTGAAGATTTGACTTAATTCGCCCCTCAGTGATGAGGTGTTTATACAGGCCAAAATGTCTTAGGAACCTCGGCACCTCACCTAGAGAAACATTTAGGGCAGGAATGGGCAACTGGTGACGCTGACCCCCTTTTGTAGGCCCACAGATCAATTCAAAATCTTCTCTCTGCCCCATGGCAAAATGTGTAGAATTACAGCAAACTTGCTTTAAAACTGCAACATTTTCTCTCTGCCCCATGGCAAAATGTGTAGAATTGCAGGAAATTACTCTAAAACGTCACATTTTTCTCTGTCAAGAGCCGAGAAAACAAAAGTTGGGGCCCAACAAACTTAGGACCGGCTTTGACTGCATGTGAGGGTACGCAGACCCACGAGCCACTGCGGACCCTCATGATAAGTGAAGATTTTTTGTGGCCCCCCACCCCCATCAAAGTTCCCCATGATCTAGGGGAAACACTGCTAGGCTAACTGGTGATCTGGTGTGAGGGCCAATAAATAAACTCACCCGAGCCCAGTGTCTGAAGCCCAGGACCAGCGGCAGCAGGAGAGGCTCCCGATTGGCCAGCTCAAACAGGAAGGAGGTGGTCAGGCATGCGTTGTCATTTCCTGCGCTCACCTTACACACCAGACCGCTTGGAGGACAACAACAACCATCAGACAGGTTCCTCCAGAAAAACTACAGACAGGTTCCTCCAGAAAAACTACAGGTCCCATCAGCCACACTTTCACATCAGTCAAAGGGAGATGTGGTTATTTTCAGAAAGATTAGTGCTAAACAACACAACTATCAGATAGCAGCACATTATAACGAACATGATGATCCATGGCTGGAATAAGGGATGCGATTAATGAAGGACTGACCTGCCCTTGTCTTTACAGATGACCACAGGTACCCTGGCATGGAAGTCTGCCTCCAGGTTACCATAGAGAACTGGAAACAACCGCCACCAACATGAACAACCTCATCATCAACATTCCGCTCAGTGTGATCACTCCACTGACGACGATCACCATGCTAACGCTAACGGTATCATTGGTTATTATGGGGTTTCTAGCGTAGCATGTCTGGAGGGGTAAAGGTTAGTCATACTCACGGCTGACTGACAGACTCTTCTGTACCAGCAACAGAACCTCTGGCTGATGCATCTGTGAACATCATAGATCATAGATTACACAAAGACAACATCTGTGAACACAGGCCCATTTCAGAACCTTAATATATCATAGATTACACAAAGACAACATCTGTGAACACAGGCCCATTTCAGAACCTTAATATATCATAGATTACACAAAGACAATATTACAGAGCTTCAGAAAAACATGATGACCATCGCAGACGAAATTGAAAATAAACCAAACGTTCACTATAAGGGCAGGAAGAGGAGCACACACATATCTCATCAGCAAGCAGGGCTACTCACATGAGGTGGGAACTGGATGTCAATATTGACGTCAGAATCCTTGAAACCAAACTTGGTACAGGACGACCCATAGAGCCGGAGTGTCACCTCTGGGAGAGAGAAAAAAGCCCAATAGAGAACACAAACAAAAAAACTCACCTGAAACCCAGTCATCCATACTGACATTCTCATCTCTCACAACTGTATACATCCCTAGCCCTTCCTGGAAGAAAACATCTAAACTACATGTTCCGGAAACTTCTACAGGACCATGTCAGGACCATGACCCCGTCATTCTCCCTACAAAAACAAACATTTCCAATTCACACATGCGTATTAATACACACTTGTACACTTGTGAAATAGGACAAATATAAGCACCCACCAAATGATTATTATATCTTCTAAACTAAAGACCATGAGTGTATAGGGCGGCAGGTAGCTTAGTGGTTAAGAGCGTCGCGCCAGTAACCGAAAGGTCGCTGGTTCTAATCCCCGAGCCGACTAGGTGAAAAATCTGTCGATGTGCCCTTGAGCAAGGCACTTAACCCTAATTGCTCATGTAAGTCGCTCTGGATAAGAGCGTCTGCTAAATGACTAGAAATTTAAAACATTTAATAGAATGGCACCAGTTGGCCTATAGGGGGTGCTGTTGTAAGCAGTCTCACTTTAACCCTCATTTCGGTCGCCCTGTTTGACCTACACTTTAAAACTTTGTACACCGAGTGGACAGAATATTAGGAACACCTGCTCTTTCCATGACAGACTGACCAGGTGAAAGCTATGATCCCTTATTGATATCACTTGTTAAATCCACTACAATCAGTGTAGATGAAGGGGAGGAGACAGGTTAAAGAAGGATTTTTAAGCCTTGAGACGATTGAGACATAGATTGTGTATGTTTGCCATTCAGAGGGTGAATGGGCAAGACCAAATATTTAAGTGCCTTTGAACAGGGTATGGTAGTAGGTGCAGGAGCACCTGTTTGTGTCAAGAACTGCAACACTGCTGGGTTTTTCACACTCAACAGCTTCCCGTGTGTATCAAGAATGGTCCACCACCCAAAGGACATCCAGCCAACTTGACGCAACTGTGGGATGTAATGGGCCAGCGTCCCTGTGAAGCGCTTTCAACACCTTGTAGAGTCCATGCCCCGACGAATCGAGGCTGTTCTGAGGGCTAAAGGGAGTGCATCTCAATATTAGGAAGGTGTTCCTAATGTTTTGTACTTTTTATTTTTATTTTACCTTTATTTAACCAGGTAAGCCAGTTGAGAGCAAGTTCTCATTTACAACTGCGACCTGGCCAAGATAAAGCAAAGCAGTGCAATAAAAACAACAGAGTTACATATGGGGTAAAACAAAACATAAAGTCAGTGTACACTCAGTGTATGTAGGTGTCTTTCCTCATGCTAAACAAACCCATTAGGATAGATTTTCCTCCATCTTGGACTTTTTGGAAAACCTTATCTTGGACCATAAGTCCAAATAACCCAAAATTCTGTGTTGGAGAAAAGCTAAGTGATTGGTTAAAAGGTGCATAACTACGGAACAGCAAGAGGAACTGCCCCTCCCTACCCTTCAGGCTATGCTCAAACCCTACACCCTAACCCGAGCAGTCCATTCTGCCACCTCAGGTCTCTTGGCCCTCCAACCCCTACGGAAGGGCAGCTCCCACTCAGCCCAGTCCAAGCTCTTCTCTGTCCTGGCACCCCAATGGGAGGGCAGCTCCCACTCAGCCCAGTCCAAGCTCTTCTCTGTCCTGGCACCCCAATGGGAGGGCAGCTCCCCCTCAGCCCAGTCCAAGCTCTTCTCTGTCCTGGCACCCCAATGGGAGGTCAGCTCCACACTCAGCCCAGTCCAAGCTCTTCTCTGTCCCGGCACCCCAATGGGAGGTCAGCTCCCACTCAGCCCAGTCCAAGCTCTTCTCTGTCCTGGCACCCCAATGGGAGGGCAGCTCCCACTCAGCCCAGTCCAAGCTCTTCCCTGTCCTGGCACCCCAATGGGAGGGCAGCTCCCACTCAGCCCAGTCCAAGCTCTTCTCTGTCCTGGCACCCCAATGGGAGGGCAGCTCCCACTCAGCCCAGTCCAAGCTCTTCTCTGTCCTGGCACCCCAATGGGAGGGCAGCTCCACTCAGCCCAGTCCAAGCTCTTCTCTGTCCTGGCACCCCAATGGGAGGGCAGCTCCCCTCAGCCCAGTCCAAGTTCTTCTCTGTCCTGGCACCCCAATGGGAGGGCAGCTCCCACTCAGCCCAGTCCAAGCTCTTCCCTGTCCTGGCACCCCAATGGGAGGGCAGCTCCCACTCAGCCCAGTCCAAGCTCTTCTCTGTCCTGGCACCCCAATGGGAGGGCAGCTCCCACTCAGCCCAGTCCAAGCTCTTCTCTGTCCTGGCACCCCAATGGGAGGGCAGCTCCCACTCAGCCCAGTCCAAGCTCTTCTCTGTCCTGGCACCCCAATGGGAGGGCAGCTCCCACTCAGCCCAGTCCAAGCTCTTCTCTGTCCCGGCACCCCAATGGTGGAAGCAGTTTCCCTCTGAAGCTAGGACAGCAGAGTCCATCTTCCAAAAACATCTGAAACCCTACCTCTTCAAAGAGTATCTTAAATAATAATCCTCCTCCTCCTCACACGCCACCATGGGCCACTCTGTTCACAACGTTGACATCAGCAAACCGCTCGCCCACACAACGCCATCTGCCCGGTACAGTTGAAACCAGGATTCATCCATGAAGGGCACATTTCTCCAGCGAGCCAGTGGCCATCGAAGGTGAGCATTTGCCCACTGAAGTCGGTTACGACGCCGAACTGCAGTCAGGTCAAGACCCTGGTGAGGACGACGAGCACGCAGATGAGCTTCCCTGAGACGGTTTCTGACAGTTTGTGCAGAAATGCTTCGGTTGTACAAACACACAGTTTCATCAGAGGTCCGGGTGGCTGGTCTCAGACGATCCCGCAGGTGAAGAAGCCGGATGTGGAGGTCCTGGGCTGGCGTGGTTACACGTGGTCTGCGGTTGTGAGGCCGGTTGGATGTACTCACAAATTCCCACGAGCAGTCATGTGTATCATATGACTTCACCTGCCTTGATTAGCTGACTGTCTGTCTGGCTTAGCTGTACCTCTGTTATACAAACAAAGGGAGCTTGATCTTTACACTGCAGAGAACCGCTCGTCTCTAGACCAAACCATTCAAAAGTAAAGATCCCATAGGTGCGGAACCACTGGTCTAGTCTACACCTCTAGTCTACTGTCTATTCTCTTACCAGGCAGGACGGCTGTTAGGACTTCTTGCATGTTGGAGACGATCTGTTGTCTGTTCTCTACATCCTGGTCACTCATCCCTCTCTCTCTGACCACGCCCTCCAGGGCCACGCCCACCGCTGCCACCTGCTCTGCCCTGGGGGGCACAATCTCCGTCAGCATCGCCTCCTCACGATGCTCCTACACAGGGCAGACACAGAGCACACACACAGACACTCAGTACAGAGATTCACGTTACACACACAGGTCATATAATATAATACAAAATGTATGTATTGTGTCTTATCATTGTTTTGGATGATAGAAGGCAGAAGTGAATAGTAGTAGGTGTTCTCACCTTGGCTCTCCTCTTGTGCCACTTGTCTTTGACGTGTCTGTGAGCTTCAGAGACAGAGTCCAGTAGTACCTCACACAGAGCGCAGGTGTAGACAGCACTGGGTTTACTGTAAGACCTCTGAGAGAGAGCACTGGGGTTACTGTGGGACCTCAGAGAGAGCACTGGGGTTACTGTAGGACCTCTGAGAGAGAGCACTGGGGTTACTGTGGGACCTCAGAGAGAGCACTGGGGTTACTGTAGGACCTCGAGAGAGAGCACTGGGGTTACTGTGGACCTCAGAGAGAGCACTGGGGTTACTGTAGGACCTCTGAGAGAGAGCACTGGGGTTACTGTGGGACCTCTGAGAGAGAGCACTGGGGTTACTGTAGGACCTCTGAGAGAGAGCACTGGGTTACTGTGGGACCTCTAGAGATGTACTGGACCTCTGAGAGAGCACTGGGTTTACTGTGAGACCTCGAGAGAGTATGGACCTCGAGAGCACTGGGGTTACTGTGGGACCTCAGAGAGAGCACTGGGGTTACTGTGGGACCTCGAAGAGAGCACTGGGGTTACTGGGACCTCTGAGAAGAGCACTGGGGTTACTGTGGACCTCGAGAGAGAGCACTGGGGTTACTGTGGGACCTCGAGAGAGAGCACTGGGGTTACTGTGGGACCTCTGAGAGAGAGCACTGGGGTTACTGTGGGACCTCAGAGAGAGCACTGGGTTACTGGGACCTCTGAGAGAGAGCACTGGGTTACTGTGGACCTCAGAGAGAGCACTGGGGTTACTGTGGGACCTCAGAGAGAGCACTGGGGTTACTGTGGGACCTCAGAGAGAGAGCACTGGGGTTACTGTGGACCTCTGAGAGAGAGCACTGGGGTTACTGTGGGACCTCGAGAGAGAGCACTGGGGTTACTGTGGGACCTCTGAGAGAGAGCACTGGGGTTACTGTGGGACCTCTGAGAGAGAGCACTGGGGTTACTGTGGGACCTCTGAGAGAGTACTGTAAGACCTCTGAGAGAGAGCACTGGGGTTACTGTAAGACCTCTGAGAGAGAGCACTGGGGTTACTGTGGGACCTCTGAGAGAGAGCACTGGGGTTACTGTGGGACCTCTGAGAGAGACGAGACTCTAGAAGGCGGTTACTGTGGGACCTCGAGAGAGAGCACTGGGGTTACTGTGGGACCTCAGAGAGAGCACTGGGGTTACTGTAGGACCTCTGAGAGAGAGCACTGGGGTTACTGTGGGACCTCAGAGAGAGAGCACTGGGGTTACTGTGGGACCTCAGAGAGAGAGCACTGGGGTTACTGTGGGACCTAGAGAGGAGCACTGGGGTTACTGTAGGACTCTGAGAGAGAGCACTGGGGTTACTGTGGGACCTCAGAGAGAGAGCACTGGGGTTACTGTGGGACCTCAGAGAGAGAGCACTGGGGTTACTGTAGGACCTCTGAGAGAGAGCACTGGGGTTACTGTGGGACCTCAGAGAGAGAGCACTGGGGTTACTGTAGGACCTCAGAGAGAGCACTGGGGTTACTGTGGGACCTCAGAGAGAGCACTGGGGTTACTGTGGGACCTCAGAGAGAGCACTGGGGATACTGTGGGACCTCAGAGAGAGCACTGGGGTTACTGTGGGACCTCAGAGAGAGCGTGGTCAGTGACAGAGTGGCCATAGAGTACACAGTAAGTCAAGACCCTGATTAGTTGAATTAACTGTGCACGTGTGGAGCCAGAACAAAAATGTACAGTGCTGAGGATACTGAAGCACTGTTCTCTCTGTATACACAGAGTAGCCAGCCAGATAAGTAAACATAAGTCCAGTGATTAGTGTTATTGTGTGGCCAGTGGGGATTTAGCCAGCCAAGATTGTTTACAGTGCTTATGGTATGTGTAAGCACTCAGTGACTTAATGGGGTATTGTGTGTAGGCCATGCCTATGGGTATTGTGTGTAGGCCAGTGCCAGGGAGGTGTATGGGGTATTGTGATTAGGCCATGACATTAGGGTATTGTGTGTAGGCCAGTGACATTAGGGGTATTGTTGTAGGCCAGTGCCATTATGGGTATTGTGTGTAGGCCAGTGCCATTATGGGGTATTGTGTGTAGGCCAGTGACATTATGGGGTATTGTGTGTAGGCCAGTGCCATTTATGGGATGGTATTGTGTTAGGCCAGTGCCATTATGGTATTGGGTGTGGAGTTTGTGTATGTGTAGGCCAGTGCCATTATGGGGTATTGTGTGTAGGCCAGTGCCATTATGGGGTATTGTGTGTAGGCCAGTGCCATTATGGGGTATTGGGTGTAATGGGGTATTGTGATTAGGCCAGTGCCATTATGGGGTATTGGGTGTAGGCCAGTGCCATTATGGGGTATTGTGTGTAGGCCAGTGCCATTATGGGGTATTGTGTGTAGGCCAGTGCCATTATGGGGTATTGTGTGTAGGCCAGTGCCATTATGGGGTATTGTGATTAGGCCAGTGCCATTATGGGGTATTGGGTGTAGGCCAGTGTCATTTTGGGGTATTGTGTGTAGGCCAGTGCCATTATGGGGTATTGTGTGTAGGCCAGTGCCATTATGGGGTATTGTGTGTAGGCCTAGTGACACATCTCAATGTAATCCATTCTGTCTTCAGGCTGTAACAACAAAATGTGGAAAAATTCAAGGGGTGTGAATCCTTTCTGAAGGCACTGTATCACTGACCCTGGATCTGCTAGCGACTGGGCTTTCACAGCTAACCTTTTAGGTAAATAATATAATATGTTTCTATTGACATTTTGTTGGCTTTATAATCGTGAGAGAAATTGAACTAGAGAGCAGCTAGCTAGTTATACCTAGGTTCCCCCCCTCTTGCTGCAGCTTTACCTCCTTTACGTGGTCCTCTGTAGCTCAGCTGGTAGAGCACGGCGCTTGTAACGCCAAGGTAGTGGGTTCGATCCCTGGGACCACCCATACACAAAAAAAAATTATGCACGCATGACTGTAAGTCGCTTTGGATAAAAGCGTCTGCTAAATGGCATATTATTATATTATTATTATTATCTCTAAATAACAGAGAGGCTGTGAAAAGCAGCGCGCTGCAAACATTTTAAAATGTTTTGTCACCAGTGGTTGTTTTGTTGTCATGTTTAGTCTTCACTGTTGCTCTTACGGCACTAATCTGGTGAGCCCCAAACAAGGCCTTTTGATTGGTTTGACGTGATGCGTCACTGATTTACACCGGGTTCTGACCCCTCTTTAGCTGATTTCTCCATGGAGCTTCCCCAGGCTTCCCGTTTCAGGCATTTTTAAAACAATGCCACGAGCACAATTTTAGGAGTTGAGAAATAAAATGTGGTAGCACTGGAAAGCTGGGACCCCCTTCTTTTTAACAAAGGCCATCAAAACTGCGTTCAAGTGTTTTTCCCGTGACTGCAATAAGAATTGTTGTGCATTGACTGCTTGTCAGAATGCATGTTTCTCTCCCTATGGCACTTGCAAAGGAATATTTATCTTGCATAGAATGCACAACAAGCAGTAAATAGGTAAACAATTGTCCGATTTTTCTGTTCATTACTCGTTTTGTTGGCAGAGCAAAAGTACATTTGAGTGTAAACTTAAACGTCTAAAACCAGATATATGACTCGTTTCAGGAAACTAGGTGGATGTCGCACGTCAATACTTCAAAAGGAGAGGCATTTTAACGTAAATATTTTTTAAAAATCAAAATGCCTTCTGGAACATGTGAAATTTCTTTAGCCTTAATAACAAACTTGTATGCCATCTGTAAATACGAATAAAATTGTTAAAATTATGAGCCTAGTATCTTTAGCCACGGAAAAAGACAGCAACCTTTTCGCTAGCCATGATTGGCTGAGATGAGTTCGGATTGGTCTGCCACGTAGCACGCTTCCGTCTATAACATGAGCTGCTTAGTACGTGTAGATGATCCTTTCTAACGCAGCTTTTTGAAAGATATCATGAAGAACTGCAAAAGTGCTGTTCTCCCCCTTCTGCAGGACGATCGTGCCATGCTGACTCTCTCAGACTCTGAAAACGAATCAAGACGATGAGGAAATCCCTGATTTAGGTCAAAAGATTTTAATTGAACCAGACATTGTAGCGTTCTGATGACAGTGATGGGGAAGAAATGATGATCAAGTGTTGTCACGGAAGTAGAAGACCGAGTTTTGAAATCATTGGAATGCCCGGCAGGAAATGCAGAAAATTCTGGCATTTGATTGCAAATATGCGGAGGGAGTCGAAAAAAGAAGGCTGTTGTATAAAACACCTGTCTCCGGATTACATCTTCAAACTAAGGGCAACCATGGCATCCGTGAGAGAGAGGGAGAAGCGTCCATCCATGTATATGGGTAAGATAGTCTAGCTAGCTACATTTTCAGATATTACACGTTCCTAATTTTGTCAGAAAGTATTTTTCATTGCAAGTTAAAGCGTACTGTTCGCTAGCAAGCTAACGCTAGCTAACGTTAAGTGTATGATCTGTGTAGTAATATTATTTGTATCTCAGAAACCCAATTGCATAGCTAGTTTACATTTACATCATTTAGCAAACACTCTTATCCATTGCGACTTACAAATTGGTGCATTCAACTTATGATAGCCAGGGACAACCACTTTTTCACTTTATACTATTCCAGGTATTCCTTAAAGAGGTAGGGTTTCAAGTGTCTCCGGAAGGTGGTCAGTGACTCCGCTGTCCTGGCGTCGTGGGGGAGCTTGTTCCACCATTGGGGTGCCAGAGCAGCGAATAGCTTTGACTGGGCTGAGCGGGAACTGTGCTTCCGTAGAGGTAGGGGGACCAGCAGGCCAGAGGTGGAAGAACGCAATGCCCTCGTTTGGGTGTAGGGTCTGATCAGAGCCTGAAGGTGAGGAGGTGCCGTTTCCCTCACAGCTCCGTAGGCAAGCACCATGGTCTTGTAGATGTGAGCCTCAACTGGAAGCCAGTGGAGTGTGCAGAGGAGCGGGGTGACATGAGAGAACTTGGGAAGGTCGAACACCAGACCACTGCGCCACTCGGGAGGCCCACCTAAAAAAGCCTGCAGCATTGAACTCCCCAAATACAGGTGTGCCAAGCTTGTAGCGTCATACCCAAGAAGACTTGAGGCTGTAATTGCTGCCAAAGGTGCTTCAACAAAGCACTGAGTAAAGGGTCTGAATACTTATGTAAATGTGATATCAGTTCTTTTTTTTTTGCTTTGTCAATGTGG